AAGTTGAATATACTCCCGTCTTCGGGTGTCTGGTTGTCATGATAGCTGCACATTACTGTTGTTTTTATTATTATTATTATTATTTAGACCTCATTTCTTATATTTACTTGCTGTGCTCACTGCATCTTATTTTGTGGTATTTAATGTTTTAAGTTTTTTATTTTTTTTATTGTTTAATGTTTTTATTTAGTATTATTGAATTGAATTATATTACTTAGGTATCGTATTTAGCCCATTTCCTTGTGAAATATTATTCAATAAATGAATTTAATTATTATTATTATTAATACGGTACATTTACATATTTAGTTTCATTTGTTTGTTTGTTTTGTATTTGTAATATTTTACTTTTCAGACAGACCTAACAGAGGACCGAATGGAAGAGGAGAATTGAGGAGGCCATGGACCGAATACGGACCAGAGAGCCATAGAAGAAGAAGAAGAAGAAGAAGGTGAATATTTTACTTATATTATTATTATTAAAATAAATTAATTATATAGGTATTTTATTCTGGACTTTGGTTTAGTGCTTGGCTGTTTTCAAGCACTTAAATAAATGAATTGAATTATTATTATTAATAATAATAATAATAATAATATGGTACATTTATATATTTAGTTTCATTTGTTTGTTTTGTATTTGTAATATTTTACTTTTATTATTTTTATTAAAATAAATTAATTGAATTATTATTATTATTAATCTTCTTATCACACGTTTTTTCCTGCTCCTGAGGTAGACAGTGCAGCAGCTATTTCTGAAACACATTTTATTTTAATGTGTTGTTAATTATTATTATTATATTACAGAATTTACTGAATGCTTTCCTGGTATTCTTCCCAGATATTTTTTTTAGTCCTTCGCTCACATTTCCTGTGGCTCCAATGTTTATATCCGTAACAACGGTCGGGTTCAAAATCTGGATCTTTCGAATCGAAGTCCCGGGTTCTGCCCCGAGCGATCACAGTTTCTCCATTTCAAGTCTTGCTTCTAGGTGGCCATGACAAGTTTTTATTGAGCAAAAGCGATCTATAATCACTACGTTTCATTGTTAGCCAACTGCTTCATGCATCAACACGAAAATCATAAATAACGAAAACTGGTTATTCAATTCATTATTCAATTCGCCCATACGTCCCAGTGCAACTGGTATAACCGAAACGACATATAACATGATTCCAATACATTGCTTACTCACAGCAGACATTTCACTCAAATGTACCAAAACGTGTTTCTATTACGATTAAATCAAAGCGGTAGAATCCCACCAGAGGACTGTGGATTTAAAAAGTCACTTTCTTAATACCTTTACTGCGAATTCAGTCCCAGAACACTTTATCAGACCTCACACAGAATGGCTGAGAAGTCACCATAACCCTACAATTTACAGAAGAACTGGTCAAAATGGCTACTGATTTTTAAATGAAGGATTCAATAAGCCAGTTTTCTGGCAATATGAAAGAAAATTCTACTAAGCGACCAGCTAGACCTCCCTGCCACTCTGTACAACAAACACAAACGCAAGACATTACACAATCATACAAATTTCATGCCATGCATTTTACACGACACTAATAAGGAAACAAATAACACAACTCATGTTGTCTTAATCATTTTTCAGTCATTAACTTAACTGCAATTCCATTAACACGTTTTACTATCCTTTGTAGGTGATACAGTACACACATTCATGACTTAACCATGCATAACCAACGGTAAACATGCATCAAGTTTCGATCCTGGGTTGTCGCAATCCTAACTTGAACGTGGTATTGAAATGTATCGCGATAAGATAAAATTCAGGTTAGATATTCGCTACTCATTTCAATATATTATCTAAAATGAGATAAATCAAAAGCATTTCATTTCGATAAACTAAAGAAACCTTCTTGTCAGAACAAATACACCCACTCAAAACCAAGGACGAATACTTCTGTCTCACGACGTCAAGATCTTCATATCTTACAACAGAGTGTGCCACCGTACACACAC